GGTCGTGCCCAGTATGCATCGGATAAGCAAATTAAATTGATTTCTCCAGAATGTAGATTTCTGCGAGAAATCAATTTTAAAAACTTAAGAATTTGGCTTAACAAAGCGCTCGAGTAACTTTGACTCTAGCCATGAATTGCTTAACAAATCTAAATTTTGGTCGCCACCAAATCGGAAAGCGTCCCATTTTTGTAATTTACCCTCTACTTCTGTCTAAACATCCTCACCACTTTTTGTCTGTGCCTCGCAACTTGGATTTATCCCCAATGTTGTCCTTATCGCCCTTATATCATTCCTGTGGTATACCCAGGTACTCCACTCTAATAGACCCCACCATTTTAATTGCAGAAGTGGAACTATGCGCAATCTGGCCCATCTTTAGCCCCACCTACTCCTACTTCGATTGATTTTCGCACCCCTTAGGCAAATCTCTGTGTCCCGGTTTTCTGCTGGCACAACCTGCGAATCTGTCGCTGTTTATATTACTAACGAAAATTATATTTCGCCAATCCAGGAGATATATCATCTTTCAAAATAAATGCTTCTCATGATTCATTCCCAATCATTTGTGCTTCTAATATTCGTGCTCCACACAAGATTATTCACAGAATTTAAGCCAAAACCCTTCAGGTTTCATCCCGACAAGCTTATTTATTTGGAAACTCTGGTATTTTCTCAAATTTGCTTCGACACGGTGTTTTTTTAGGACTTAGGCCTTGGTTTGTGGTTTGTATCTGCGGTTTTTCTCGTTGCCAAAACGTTCACCCCCCGTTCCTCTCCCTGTCTTGTCCTGCCATCCTTTGTTATTGTTGTTGCTCATTTCTGGCTGCTGTTCGTGAGCAGTTTAATTGAATTATTTGTGCGCCGAACACTTTGCTCCGCCTGTGACAGCTGCTCTAATTAGTTGGGCACCGACGAAGGCCAAGTCTGAGGCAAAGGCGTTTAATTAGTTCGTCTGGCGCCAGGAAATGAAGGTGAACCGCAGTAGGGTTAAGCTGCTTAACGGCCACGGCCAACTCTCATCGGGGCAGCAGGCACACGATGCCATCCATTATGTTCAAGTGCTCTAATCAAATTGAATTGCCAACGCACCCTGCAGTACACCCAATACCAAAATCAGAGCATTTAAATTCCTTTTACGTGTGTCCTTTAGTTACACAATCTCCAAAATTTCGACGAATCAGCAAATTGAATTAACCGTGCCAAGGAGTACACATACAGTCAACATATTGACAAGTCTTTATCTCCTACCACCATCTGAATGGAAAAGAGAGAGTATATGGAGCGAGCGCATAGACTATGCACTTGATATAGCCCATCTATCGCCAATGTATTCTTCCCACATGGCCTTATGCTCTGTTCCGAAAGGTTTCTTTAGCTAGATACGATATGCTTAATAAACTGATAACTCTATGTATAGCACAGTTTTTCGTGACTAACTTACTGACTGAAAGCTGTCTAGGAAGCTTTAATTCTTATTGTAGTTACCTTATGTCATGTAGACGGAATATTGGGACATTCGAGCGGAAAATGGGTTTAAATCTTATGTCTAAAACTTGAACCAAAAGCTTGTATCGGGCTACGTCAAGAAAACCCAGCTACAATATATCTGTACACCCCTAAAACTATAATGATTTTTCGTCCCACCCGACAGATCATAAAAATCTATAATTCCCAGTTTCTTAAAGCTAAAATCATCGAATGGGTCTAATTGGATAATTGTAATATCTTGTAATTTCTCGAGATTGCAAAATAAAACAAATATTAAATGCATAGTAAATGTTGGAGAGAGTAGTGAAAAGTCGAGAGAGCACAACCGAAACGATTTTACTTGCTTCTTACCTACCAGGGATGAATTATTGCTGACTGACATTCGGTAGGTTTTTTTTGGTTAATTTTAAATATGCAGAAACTCAAATATTTCGCTATTGTATCTAAGCTACGTTTAGTCATAGCCTTAAACTATACTATTCCACAAATTAAATTTAGAAGGTATATAAATAAAACCCTTAAAGTATGCAAATATTTAGTACTTAAACATTTTTCTGAATATGTTCAGTGGAACGGTGAAATGAAACACGGAACTTTGAATAATATTAACAAACTTAAAATAATAATAATGATAATAATAATAATAGTAATAATAATAATAATAATAATAATAATAATAATAATAATAATAATAATAATAATAATAATAATAATAATAATAATAATAATAATAATAATAATAATAATAATAATAATAATAATAATAATAATAATAATAATAATAATAATAATAATAATAATAATAATAATAATAATAATAATAATAATAATAATAATAATAATAATCATAATAATAATAATAATAATAATAATGATAATGATAATAATAATTAATAATAATAATAATTATTATTATTATTATGAATATTTTGATTATTATTAATTTAATTATTCCCATGATTATTTTTAATATTTGATATATGGTTACTTACTATAAACCTTACTTATTATTATACACAACCACCAAACACTAGTCCTGGATACGAACCAGCATCGTCGATTACTTAATAAGCTGCTTTTCTTGCTTTTCACCGAAATTGCGTCTTGTGAATTCTTATGTCTGTGCAAAAAGCTTACCTTTTCATAGGAATTTGAATGCCGAGAATTCGTGCCCAGCCCTGTTAGCATAAGAATATTCCCTATGGCATCTCGCCTGTCTGTTTATTGACATTGACTAGGCTTGTTAGGCTGGCTGTCATGTCATTTGGAACGGAAAGCTGCCATAAACACGTCGCACACGTGTGCGCCATTTTTAAAAATGGCGTCAGCATCACTTCCGCCTGAGCCAGAGCAGCACAATTTTTAGGTTATATATGTACATTTGAATTGAAATCAAATGGAAATCAGATGGCTGGCACTGCTTATGAAGTCGTTAGCGCGTCTTCTGCCGCCGGCTGCTGTCGTTAGAGATATTGGCACATCGTCGAAAATAATTGCCGGAAATACAAAAGGAAGGCGGCAATGGCAATGGCAGTGGCAATGGCAGCGGCAGCGGCACAAATGAAATCAAATAGAATGCTGCGAATGGGAAAGGCATCGGAATAGATTTCCAATTTTCTCATCATCCTGGCTGCTGCCTTCACTGAGAAGCACCACAAGGCGTCCTAATACGAGTCCAAGTTCTTGTCATTGTCCTTCCCATTGTAGTTGCCTGCCGGCTTACGGGACGTATACTCAACTATAATTAATTACGACTTTTGCACGAGTGTGTGTGTGTGTCTTTTACTTGAGTGGCTTCTTTTCAATTTCAATTGTGGACATGGCGCCCGGGGTTCATTGACTGTCCAGCTAAGCTGACCAAGCGCAATCGCAACATTGTGGCAGCCTATAAAAGCGCAGGCCCTGTGCCTGGCAAGCATCATTCCCATCCGGAAGACCAGAAGGCCCGCAGCTTTGAGGAGCAGCAGCAGCAGCAAAAAAGGAGCAAAGGATCATTATCAACCAGCAGCTACACTAGCATGGCCTCATTGCAGTTGCTGCTCTGCTGTGCGACAACCCTTCTGATTGCCAACGCCTTGGAGCTGGCGCCCCAGCTGCTGAGCGTCGCCACCATCGAGCCGGCGAGCAGTAAGGCCAAGACGCACTATACGCCCTTTCCGTTGGTCGATGATGACGTCGATGTGGAGGCCGTCGAGCTTCCGCTAGATGTGGACCAGGACGACAACGTTGAGCCCACCCGCGTGCATCATTCACTGCCGCCTCCCTGGCTGCAGTTCGCCGACGAGCCCGTCCAGAAGCCCCGTGTCAACAATAAGGCATCCTTCATAAAGCTGCCACCCGCCGGGCAACAGCACAAGCATCCACATGGACATGGACACGGGCACGGGGCATGCACCATTGAGATAACCAGCAAGGTGCCGGGCATCTGCCAGCCCATGAGCATGGGCGTGGGCAGTGCCTGCATTTCGGGTGAATTCATGGAGGTTTACAGTGGGTCCCATTGCTCCAATTTCTAATCCGGAAAGAGAAGTCCCAACGCTCCGCTCTCCCTTACTCCACACTCTCTCTCTCCCTCTCTCCTTGTTGGATCCCTCTGAATGCTTGTTTAGTGTCTATTTTTAGTGGGTTTAATGGAGGAGTACGACTACCTGGTGCGCGTTTTGCAAATAACACTCATTAATATTTGTATAAATAAAGTATATTTAATAACATTTACTTAAGTTTTACTCAACTAATTTATACGATATTGAGATCAATTTACAGCTACAAAACGTCCCTTAAAGATATTTACACGCATTTTGTTTCACCGCTTACAATTCGCAGAATTTATCTATATTATTTTCATGTTTATAATTCCAGCGTATTTTATTTAATGCTAATTTTAACTTATTTATTATCAATGCTATGGCCGGGAATGCGCGGCTACGCAAAGACAGCTTTTCGTCTTTATATATAAATATTATAATTATGCCACGGAATGGAGAGCCCATAAAGTATATAACATATATATTCTTGATCGGTGACAATATATCTCGATACAGCCGATATAGTCCGTCTGTAGTTTTCTATAGAAACCAGCCTCTCTTTTAAAAATGACGGAATCGGCTGTCATATATATAATCGCTCGGAATGTTCTTGTATGAAACATGAGTTGTATGAAACATGATTTAACAATGCTCTCTATATATTATATGCATACATATTCCCATATCAAATCGGCCTGCTGGTATATTACATCACTTCTCAAGAAGCAATCGGTCGGAAATAAAGCTTTTGTATACAAAATCAGTTTTTAGCAATATATCTGAAGGGTATTTAGACTTCGGTGTGTCTGTTCTTTTTTGTTTAATTTGAATTTAAGTGAAAGGTATAAAACCTCCAGCCGAGAGAGCTCAAATCAGGTAGACCCTGTAAACAGGTGTAATCTAATAGACATTCCTTGATGTCCGTATTTTACAATATTATATTTGAAAGATTTTGCAATTTTGCAACATTTAGAGCCCCGTAAATTTTCCTTATATCTTGATCGTAAGCAGAATGCGCTTTAAGAAGTATTCTCCCATATGTTAAGCACATATGATTTATCAAAGGGAACTTACTCATTTTCGCATTTTGGGCCAGATCGTGGGCTTCGTTGGCTTGGCGCCCGGCACCGTCGTCGAGTTGCCAATGGCCACACATTGGCCACCGAACACCTCCAGCAGCTGCGGGGCCTGGAAGAAGGGCGCACGCTTCCATTGGGCGGGTCCCACACGATCGATGCGATCGTAGATCAGGCCAGTCACGTCGATGGCACGAAACTGTTCCTGCTCCTGTACATCCTGCAGATCGCTGCCCCAGATGAAGACGACCTGCTGCAGATCCAGGCCCAGATCCACCAGCTGCTGCTTGTGCTGAAAATTTTGGACATGCGTCGCCGTGCCGAGTAGTTCGGCGCTTTCGGCAAAGTTGATGGCTTGCAGAAAAGTCTGGGTTCTCAGGTCCATATAGGCATCCCAAATGTCCGTTCTGCCCGTGGTCATGAGCATGACCGGAAACGCCGTCTGCTTCAGCCGTACCATGGTGCATATATCAGCATCAAAGCTGGCAAAGATCAGCGGACGTCCGCAACCATAACGCGCTGTGACCTCTATAATCCTGTCCACAAACACATTCTTGTTGAGCGACTGCGTGGACTCCATCACGCCCGATGCCATGAGCTGCGGCCACTTGATCTCCACGATTAGGCCCAGACTCTTGGGCAGCGCCTCGTATACTTCATCTAATTTGGGAAAGAGTCGCTGCGGCTGGCTCACATTGCGCACATTCAAGTGTGTGTACTCCTGCAGGCTCCATTTTTTCAGTATGAAAACACGGCTGCCCTTCAGTTCGGCATAGCTGAGCTGCCGGATGAGCACATAGCGCAGATCAAAACGATCCACTATGGGCTGTGTGGTCGGCTGCTTGGTGGTATAGAAGCCAAAGCTGCGCCAAACGACAGGCACATAGTCTCTGGTCAATTGCACATCCAGGTGCACCATATCGCCCTTGGCGCTGGGCACGGCCAGGTAGCTCTCGATGGTGTTCTCCACCAGCTGATTGCCGGCTTGGTAATAGCTGGTGCCCAGGCCACGGTTGCCCACGTCCAGGGTGGGCCAATTGCTGGGCCAGTAGCGCTGAAAGCTGACACGCAAATTGCTGGCAGCTGCATTGGGCATGGGCCGCACCACCAAGTAGGGCAATGTCAGCTGACCTATGACCTGCTGTGTGACCTGACCCTGTATGGGCAGCTGCAGAATGCCGCGACTGCCGCGCAGCTGCTCGGGCATTATATAGGCCTCACCCAAAGGCAGCTGCCCGCCATCCAGGCTGTATATGTCTAGCCTTAAGGCATTGAACACATCTAGGGCTTGGCTGATGCGATAGATGATTATGGTGCCGGCGGAATACCTGACACCCAGCCGGCTCTGCGGCCGGAAGGACGAACGATTGTAGGCATAGCGCGAGACTTCGATCAGCGCATTGTCCAGCACACTGAGCGATCTGAGCTTAAGGCGCAGCTTCTCCTGGTTGTTCAGGCCTGCGATTTGTAGGTGCTTCTGCCAAATAAACTTTAGCTCAGTGACATATTCCCGCTGGAGCCAGCCAGGCTCCAGCAAGTGCCCGCCGCCCACCGAGCGGGGATAGGCCTCGCCGAAAATGTCCACGCCAGGGGAGCGATAGATCTCAAAGGTCTGCAGCATGCGCGGCACCTGCTGTCCCTCCCAGCGGCGCAGCACACGCTCGCCGGCCGCGTCCAGCGTGTAAATGAGATAGCGGTAATAGACACGATGACTGGCGCATATCCAACGGCGCAGATACCACTTGCTGCGCTGCCTGTTCTGGGCACGCAATGGCAGCGCCTTGGCAATGCTCCAGGCGCCCAGCGCACGATGATCCCCGCTAACGGCGATCTCTTCATCCGGTGCCAGCTGCTGGCCCGAGCGCAGCTCCAGATTGAATACACGAAAGAAGGGCACACAGAGAAAACTACGTCCGGTTAGTTGTGCGGGCTGTCGCTCAGCATCAAATGGCTTAAAGGCCTGCAGCTGGGCTCGACCGAAGACAGACGTTCCATTCAGTATGGGGCCGACTGTGGCTCCCGCTTTGCAAAACAATGGCCACAACAAAGCGATCTTATAGAGTATGCTAATTGATTTTAGCACTCGATACATTTTTCTTCTTCTCCAAATCAAGCGGCAGCATCATCTCGCCTCAAATGAACAAACTTGTTTTCTTCAACCACGAAACGCGGACGGCGCGGCGCGTTGTCTATGACGAACCCGCTGGTGACTCTCTTCTTTTTGGATGAGTTCTTAACCCGGCGCTAACAGACGATCAAATGAAAGAACTTCCAAATGTTCAGCACAGTTTTGTGGCTGTAAATCAGCTGTAATTGCACTGAGAGAAACGATGGCTCATAACAAATCAATATTGGGTATCGCATCCAAGCTGATAACTTATTCAGCTTTTATACACATAAACACAAATAAACGAAATGAATATAATATATTCGGGTTGTCCGCCTGGCTGACCCAACATCTCCCCTTATAAACAAAGTTTTTTATCCCAAGCTTAACTTAATATTAAACTGTAGAATGTAGATATACCCGCGTCAATAAAAGTGTTTAGATTATATTAAGAATGTAGATCACCTCTTAAGATCAATAAAGTAAAAAACGGAAATAAAACCGAAAATCTTTTAATTAATTCACGGTTATTGCTCGCAGTCTATTGAACCCAACTGCAACTTGTTTCTGATTTCTTCTTATTTTCATTTACTTTTAATTATTCTTATATAATTATCGTATAACATTTAGTTCAACAAAAAACACTTCGTTCTCGTATTGAGCACTTGCCACTTCCAAACACTCGCATAAAAGTTTCTTTTTCTTAGGTTCTTTAATGTTTCGCTCAGTGTACACAAATTAGTTGTGGGCTCTCTGGGCTTGATTAATAAGTCGCCACAAACTAATCGGGTTGGCCCCGTAAAATTGGCATAAATATGCAAATGTCTGAGGTTAAAGAAAGTTCGAGAGAGCTGCTTAGATGTTCTTGTCTATTACCAGGGGCTTCACATAATGCGGATTATAGTCCAGATGCATGTACTTGGACAGATGCCAGCGCTGAATGGGCACAGTTGTATGATTCAGGCAACTCGACTTGTCCACCAGACGCAAACCCTTCAAGGATAAATCCACACTGTACAGATAATTTTCCACCTGCTCGAGCACCTGTGCGCTGGGCTCCTGGGCACGCGTATAAATCACATTTTGCGGCCGAAACCAGGGCAATGAGCAATGCAGCTCCACGGCAAAGCTGTCGTAGTCCGTCCAGGTGATGCGGCTCCAGTAGAGATCCACTGCAACAAAACCAAGCGATTAGTACTTAGTTGCCTCGAGTAACTCGCAGCAGCTCATAGACTTACACTCTTCAAACAAACATACGTTGCTTCGCTGAGGATACGAGGCGTAGATCCACCAAATGCCCTTTATCTACATGTTGCATGTATGTACAGATACACGAAATATGTAACATGAACGTTAATTTGGTTATCTGGCTGAAAATCAAGACCCATTCACCCTTTGCTCGTCCACGGGAAACTCTTTGTACAAGCATCTCCAAGCGAAGCCCAAGTCCAGAGCTGAGGCACAAATCGACCACAAAAATAGATACCTACAGGGCCTCAGGCTGCGATAAGCTGTCAACATTGCCTCCATCTTCAAGCAAATGCAAATGAGCCGCTCCATAATTTTAATCATTTCATTTCTGATGTTTCTTCTCGGGCTTGTTATGGATCTAAGAATTCGTCAGAGACTATTAAATAATGGCATATCGAATGTGGTAAATGGCTGTGTGGCATGTGGATTCTCTCGCTCTCACTCTCCCTCTCTCTCCCACTCTCTCAATCTCTCTCTCTCTCTCTGTCTTTCACTCGCTCCATGTGCTTTGAGTAAGAAATGATTTGTATTTTTATGGTAATATTTTATTGAATTGTTTTGAAAGATATTCTTGCTGCTCTAAATATTCTTTGCAGAAAGCCGATTTCCTTGGTCGTGTTTATATATCCTAACAGAGGGTATTATCTATTTGTCATTAAATATGTAACGCTTTAAAGCGAACATCTACGACAGCATAAGGTTGATATATTTTTGATCAGTAATATCAATCGAGTCGTTATTGCCATGTCCGTGTGTCCCTTTCCATGCAAACTACAAAGTCCCCTCCGTAGTTGTATTGCAAGTTTTACATATCAATATATAAGGCATAGGAATGATCCGGCGAAATCTAAATTCTTTTAGGAAAACCTATATTACCAAGTTTCCAAACTTGGCATTCACGAGTTTTTAGGTTTTTTTTTACTTATCAAATACATGAAAATACCATTAATGGAAAACTTGTTTGTTTTTCAGACCGAGCTTATTAGTCATTATTCTTCTCATCTATCTGCAAACTGGTCTCATTGGACTAATTTTGGATCCACCATCTGGTGGAAATAAAGTTTTACTAGCAGGGTATTTGGTCTTCGATGTGCCGAATCAGTTATTCTTTCGAGTTGCTTTTAGTGCTGCTTGCATATTATATGTGTTTTTTTTTTAATTTCATTAACATTCCGCTTTTTAAAATACTTTAATTTATTTATTGTTTTTGCTTGTGTTTATAATTAAATCTTTTTCTCTTCATAAAATATTGTAAATAGCAGTGAATTTATATAAAACACGCTTGAAAAATTATTGTACTTTTAATAATATACAATTCTGCAGACGCTTTCGCACATAAACATATTGTAAGAGGTATTTTTTTTGTTTTTCTTTTTTTAAGATATTTTAAAGCATTTTTCTGTGCTCTCTTTTGTCTTTTAGTTTTATTTATATCAACATTATTTATTTTTATTTGCAGAAGAAAGTGCAAAAATAAATAGAGTATTAGCGATAAAAGATCGGTAACTGGATATCACTTGACCTACATTGTTAGCTTTAGTTGAAAGTTTATTTAGATTTACATTTTATAGAATTTTTACTATATATGTATATTTCATTTTTCCCATCCCTGAGCACGCCTTTTCTGTACAATTTTCTGCTATGCTTGCTTGTTGCAATTTGAATATATAATATTAATAAATATAAAAAAACAATTTATAAGCTTAAATCAAAATACGAATATAGCTTCAATTGGACTTAAGCTGAGTTCACATTGGCATAGATTATTAGAAAATATCAATTCATTAATTGCTACGTTTTTTAGTTATTTACATTCTGGGCAAGAGTACAAATTATTTACATATTTTATGGAGCAGCTGAAGATAAGCTTGAATCTCCTTTGGATGTGACCTCAGCCCAGTGCTTAGACTACGATTACCCGCCTGACGGACCCATTCCCTGCCTCGGTCCGCCATCCCCTTACATCCTGCATTGAGCCTCGAACTCGGCGAGCAGCGCGCTGGAATTGAAGAACGATCGCTGCTTGTTCTCCGGCATATAGAGATCGCTGCGATCGTAGCAGGTGGCTGTCGCTCCGATCTCTGTGAAATACTTGACGCGCTCCTTTGAATTGCAGTCATCGCCCCAGATGACGGCAATCTGTCCCTGGTCGCGTGCCTGCTGCAGCATTTGGGCCGCATTCTCGCCCAGGAAGTCCTCCGCATGGGGCGCAGTGCCCGCCAGTTCGAAGGCCTGCGCGTTGTTAACGGCGGCCATGAAGTTGCGCGTGCGCAGATCGCTGAACGGCTGCCATTTCTTGGTCTCGCCCTGGGTAAGGAACATGACCGGAAAGAGGTTCTGCTTGAATCGCAGCATGGTGCACATGTCCGCATCGAAGCTGGAGAAGATCAGGGGACGCCCACAGCCGAATTGAATGACCTCGTGCAGCACACGATCGGCAAAGAAATTCTTATCAATGGTCTGCTCCGCTTCGGAGCCGCCGCCCTGGCGACGCTGTGGCCACTTGATCTCCACATCGATGCCCAGCGATTTGGGCAGCTGCTGTAGCACCTCCACCAGTCTGGGAAAGATGCGATGCTCCACACGTGGTTCGGCATTGTGTGCAGGATATTCCTGTACTTTGCCATTGATCACCGAGAAGATGCGCAGCCGCTTGAGCAGCTCATAGTTAATGTCCTTGATCAGCACATACTCCAGCTGCTCGGGCTTCTCGATCACCTTGCCCGGCGGCGCGGTGCGCAGGCCAAAATCGTGATAGATCACGGGTATCCCATCGGCCGTCAAGTGGACATCCAACTCAACCATGTCCGCATGATGTGCATGTGCGCTCATGAACGAGGCAATCGTGTTCTCTGGCTCCAGCGGCGCCTCGGCAATGTAGCTCTTGCCGTTGCCGCGATGGCCTACATCCAAATTGGGCCAGCTGCGAGGCCAGTAGTGGGCATAGGTGTTCTTGAAGTCCAGCGGCGAGTACTGATAGGGGTGGACCAGCACGTAGGGTAGTCTCAAGCGGGCCAGCGTCTCGTCAGCCCGTTGGGCGGACTTGATGTGCAGCTGGAGCAGTCCCTCGCTGCCCGTTAGCTGTGCAGTACTCAGGCTGGCGGTGCCAAGGAGCTCGTGCTGCAGGCCATAGCACTCCAAGCGGAAGCTCTGGTGCATCATGCGATCCAGCGGCAGGGTGATATGAAAGATGACAATGTCGCCTTTGGTATAGGATACGCCATGCGCCGGCTGCAGCTGCAGCTGACTCTGGCCATAAAGGTGTTTGGTGTATTCCACAACAAGTCCAGGAGACTCCTCGACGGGCACAACTTTGAGCTGGACGTGCTGCGGATCAAAGGTCTCAATGTCATGGACCTGGAACATCTTCTCGCCATTAAATTTAAGCTGCACAATTGCCTCATGGTTCAGCCAGCCGCGATGCACCTGAGCCGTGGACTCATCCACATGGGTCAATCCAAACACATCCAGCGGACTGTGGCTCTGCTCCTCCATGGTGGCGTGCAGCACGCGTGGCTTGAAGTGCGTCTCCCAGCGACGTATTTGCTTGTAGCCGGCCGCATTCTCCACGTACACGAAGTAACGATACTCCAGCTGGCGGCACGACTGAAGCCGCACGTTGGTCTGCCAGGTGAGGTCATCCAATCGATCCAGGGGCACACAGCGCGACAGCTGCCACTCGCCCAGCGCTTTGGCGTCGCCTGTTAGAGCCAGTTGTTCCTCTGGCGCCAATGGCGCCTGTAGCCGTACATTAAACTGCCTCAGAGTGGGCTTGCAGCTGGTGGAAGGGGCCGCCTCAACCAGCTCGTTGCCAGTAACATAGTTTGAGGCAGCGATGGCAGCCGCAGCGTCCGCATACGAGGCACACTGCAAGACAGATGAGACGACAATGCCAAGGATTAATAGGGAACCAAGCATGGCGACAACTATGAAATCCACACTACAACTGACTGCGAAACGCGGCGGGCAGCGGCTCAAATATGATGTGACGACTCTTTCCCTCTCTCCCTCTGATAAGGAAGCTTTGCTAGCGTCGGAATCAGTTATATTCTATGAAAATAGATCGCAGGTTATCGGACGCGTTTTAAGTCGCGCCCGCTGTTTAAACAGCTCGTGACTTTGGCGCAAGTGCAAACAAAATCACGTGTTGCCCCCTAAGAGATCAGCGAGATAGAGAATAGGCGCAAGTTTCAACAGCTCTTAATCAGCTACAAGTTCAGCTTGTTAATCAAACTAGAGCCACAGCGCAAATGTACCCCGATCCATAGGTACATATATGTATATGGATTCTAAATATTCTAAGCATTTTATTTTGTCTGATTTGTAAGCGTAGACATTTCTATTTAGCAGACGACAGACACGTGAGCGTACAACAAGCATTAACCCATTTACAACATGTCGATATAGTCTATAATACTTTAAAAAATTATAAGATTATTTATGTTGCTTCCTTTGTGTGCCACAGTCATATAAAGGAGAAAAATGGGGGACCATAGAGAATAAAAGCATTATGAAATATTTAATTTTCAAAGGCAAGACTTAAATGTCAAACTTCACTCGAAATGACGTTTTCAATATAAACAAAACTCATTTATCAACTGCTGCAAATTGAATTTAGAAGAAACGCTATTTACCGCTAAAAATTCGCGTGCGTTTTCAACCGCTTTGTGCCGCGCGATTTACCTGCGTATGAAATCGCGCGCGCAAGTGACGTAGTTGTGGCTGTAGCTGCAAGCAGCGCTTCATGACGTCACCGCCGCTTCTGTTAAGCAACCTGCCCGCTGTCACGCTGTCTCCCAGCAACCAATACGGTATATTCAAAATTTATGCAACTTTTAAGGGGCTAAACTCATAAATGTGACAATAATTTAAAGGCTGTTTTTTCTCGCACTGATTTGGATCACGTGTTAAGGCCGCGATTTTGTTTTGATCAAGTTTTCTTCTTTTTTTTTTTTTTTTTATTTATTACAGTTTCACCAGAACTGAGCGCCCACGCGATGAAAGAGCTCGAAACGGGCCGACAGCAGCGAATGCTTTGGCAAAACACGCAAATCTACGTAGAAAACAAAAGGCAAGAACAACAGCTAAACGAATTTCTGGCAGAAGAGTTCGAGATGAAAATTGTGAGGTTTGGCATTTACTATGCCAAGTATATGTACGACTTGCCATAGTATATGGCCTATAGTTATGCATAGTTTTCCGCATGTTCTGTGTGATTTTTCCTCGCCCCAATCCCGTTACGGTCTTGGCACAATTAGCGGAACCTTGCCAACGTTTAAATATACCAAATAACATTTGGCAACGCCTTATCTGCAACAGCA